TGAGTCGGTTTGGGTGGACCGGTTGGACTGGGTTTGGGGCAACTCGGATTTTGTCTAGTTGGGTGGTCTAGCCTATGTGGTTTGACTCGGACGGCTCAATCTATATGTCACTTGTCTAACTTCAATTCGTTGAAATTTGATAGAGTAATTTCATCCCTAACATTCTTCATACATCTAATAGTATAACATTGTGAATTAAATTATTTCAGTCCTCGAATCATTTTCGAAGAAGAGGAGGGTAGAGGGTGAGGAGTAGGAGAGAGATAACTTTGGAAAAGAATTAAATTATACTCATGTCCTTGAACTTTAAGTGGGAAGGGAACCGATGGATATAAATATTTCACTTTCCGGATCTCTATCTAATTCATCGATATTTGTAAAATTCGCATATTACTTTTCTCATCACTCAAATATTGAAGTTAAAATTCTTTTAAATGGGGCTCGAAAATGTTCACCAATATTGTAGGTAATGATTATATTTTGAAATAATGATGACTTCAAAGAGAAAAAAGGGACAAAAACTTGACATGTATCGAATAATATTTTGCATATGAGTGATAGATAGTATCAATGCGTAGCATAACTAAGATTGTCAAATCGAGCATAACTCAAATGGTTAAGACATTTATCTCTGACCAAGAGATCATAAGTTCAAACTCCCCACATGTTGTATAAAAAAAAAGAGCGTAACTAAAATTTCAAAAATGAAGTCATGATTAAGAACCTACTCTAAAACAACTCAACTTTGTTATTTGTTTAAAAAATAACCCTATTATTTCAAAAGTTTTCATAAACCTTTTCCAAAATATTCTTTAAACAACATTTGTTAATCTTTTGAACGAAAATTTCACATGACAAAATCTAGAACGACGTGACAATTAATATCTCTTTTTTGCTTTAAATGTTTTCTTCTTCCATTATCGAGAGAGTTTGCTTCTCCATTATCTGTCTAATTTTTCTCTAATCTTCATTTAAAAATAATAGTTTCTTCCACCTTTCAACTCTTTTAGGATTGAATCCAAGAAAGTTTTCATATTAATTGTTATGTTGTTCTAGATTCTGCTACATCAACTTTTCGATCAAAATATTAATGAATATTTGTTCAAAAATATATTTAATATGCTTATAAAAGATCTAAGAATCAAGAATAGTATTGAAATTAAACTTTAAAAAACAGAGAGGTGTTAAAGGTGTGTTTTGGTCACTTGTGTGTGTTCTGAAAAAGTGGAATATAGAATTGAATTGGGTCTGACACGTCATTTAGTGTAAAGTTTGGTTTGACCTGGGAGAGCTGAAACTGAACAGAAAAAAAAAAAAAAAAACAGAGCTGAAGTGGAACTGGACATTATCCTTAATTCTGCTGACATCTCCTTAAAACTCTACTGCAATTCTCTTACCTGTTTTTCTCTGCCTCGTACCTTCCGATTCACAGAAACAGTCTGTCTTTTCCTTTACACTCTTTAAAAGAAAAAAAATAAACTTTTCCGCTTCTTCATTATTAACTCATTCCCCAACTCCTCTTGTTATCCAAAATTTTATTCAAATCTCCAAATCACCCTTTAATCTAAAAATTTATGAGCATTTGTAGAAATCATAATAAATGGAGAAGAAATAATAACGCAGAGGACCTTTACTCTGATACCATATTAATATTCATGAGATTTAATCTCAAAACCAATTGACGATGAGACGAGTAGCACATGTCCATTATAAACCCATGTAAGGTCCTTTATTTTATTAATGTTAGACCTTAACATGCCTCCTTAAGATCATGATTATTTGATTCATCGATCTTAGCTGGATCTCATTTTTTGGATCGGATGCTCGTTTGAGCTTTTGGACTCTGATACCATCTTAATGATTAATAAACCACCACTCAACCCAAAAGCTTAAGCTGATAGGTTGTGTAAATTTAATTCATATATTGGATACTAACACATTTAAATATTTTGTTAGATTTTATTAATTTTTATGATTTTACCTTAAATATCTGTCGACGTTGATATATATTATATTGATATTTTTATCAATATTTGTGTAAAATTGAAATTTCGATATTTTTCCTTCTACGTTGACCTTTAAAACTTTGATTTAAATAGTTATCTAGAGTAGACTCTTAAAAGAGTTTGTTCAGTAAATTTTAAATGTTTTTCATATTATTTATTTGGGGAGTAAAAAGTGATTAGAAAAAAATTTCCTAAGAAGAAGTCTTAAATGCATTGGCTAATAACAAAATAATTAATTATTGATTTTTAAGGGATGAAACAATTAATTAGTGTTTTTTTTTTCCACTTAATTAGTGTTATATTTATGAAGAAAGTGTTTTTTTTAATAATAAAATTCATACAAGAGAGAGTGGTCAACCTATAACCTTTTTACTTATACTTTTGACTGATTAAAGAAATAAATTGATTCACTTAAAAAGCATTATCCTTAGAAGTCATATCCGACTCTAAATACTTTGATAAATAGTAACTAATAATAAAATACTTTGTGTTAGTATAAAAGCACATTATTAATAATATTAAAACACTTACTCTGTACAAAAAAAAAAAAAAGTCTAAGTGTTTTTTACTTTATTGAAAAATGCTTCTACACTGTAACCAAACATTAATATTATTTGAGTTAAAAAGTACTTTTAACCCTCTAAAAAGCACTTTTTACATTATCATAAGACAATACAGTAGAAACCATACTTTTGAAAAGTACATATTTTTTGAGATCTTATCAATGGAATAACGTTTTATGAATGAAAAATCGAGGGCACGGTATGCAATTTGAATTTTGTTTCTTACTTTCATGATTTATTAAATTAAATGGTTTTGATGAATATATGTTTAGCACATTTATCTTTAAAACTGTTTTTGATTACTCTACTTTAAATAGCTGAAATTCTAAAAATAATATTTTTTGTTTTCGATATTTTTCAGATTTTAAATTTAAAACTCTAAAACACATCTCCTATTATAAACTCATTCCATTCTTTTCAAAATTAAAACATAAAATATAATATATTATAAATTGTATAGTACTATACAAAATTTATAACATATATCTTAACAAATTAATTAATAATATTTCTTTTATTCAACTAGATGTTGAGTTGATAAATATATAGAACAATTTTTTTAAAATCTATATTCAATTTTCAAATCTACTACCAAATTTGAAATACAACTCTATTTTTTCGTTAAATCTCTTATTTTCAAATCACCGGGTATCAGAATTTATAAGCAAAAAGCCCCCTTATAAAAGGATGTTATGAAAAATGATGTGGATCTTAATTATATGTGGATTCCATCCAATTGGAAAGTGAGTGATGGTGTTATTTCATTAGAAATGCTCAGTGAGAAGGCGCAGTTGCTGCATTTGAAAACCACTACACAACATACCTACCCATCACTTGTGCTTCTTCTTTGAATATTACTCACAAAATCTTTTTCTCACACTTTTCAATTATTCTTAACCAAAACCTGTTGGAATTAATTTAATAATTAATTCATATGTGGGTAACAAATCAAACAGCAATTATATTTGGGCTAGGGCATACAAGTAATCTTAATTATGGGCCCATGACTTCCCATTTAATGGTGTGGCTAGAAACCAGCCCATTAATCCTAGGGGATTATGAGAAATCCTAGGATTAACCTATAAATATATGGTTATGTCCCCAATACTCCTTGAGCCTCCTGTGCCTCCTGTTCCCCATCAAACTCCTGTTCCCCATCAAACAGTAGTATAGCCCATATTTGGTCTGGGTTGCGTAGTTGAGGAAGACCACAAACCATGGTCAATTTATCTAATGGTTTCAGGTAATTCTAATCTCTTTATAGATTTTGGTTTTCTTCCATGCTTAAATCCTTGACCTTGATTATTCTGGAATTTTATGGCTTTTGTTTTAGAATAATCCTGAATTAGGATTTGTTTAAAATTTCTAACAAGTGGTATCAGAGCAAAAAGCACTCTCCAACAATGATCAATTATGAAGAAAGTTTTACGAAGTAGATTAAAAGAGGGTGTATGTATTGATTTTGGTTCGATTCGATTCTTGGTTAAATTAGCTCAAACTTATCATACTTCAGTTCTACAAACTACTGAGAGTAAACCAAATCGATTACTAAGGATGTTCGGGTTGAACCCTGGACTAGCTCTTAGTTTAGATCGGTTAACTTAGGATGCGTTTGGTCAGTAATCTAAAAACAGAAATATGAAAATAAGGAACTTTAAATAAAACAGAGTTGTGTTTACTGTTTTTAAGTGTTTACAACATAGGTGTTTGATAGTAGATTTAGAAATTGAATATCAAATTTGTTGGAGATGTTTAATTATATATTTGTAAATTAAGGTAGTTATTTTCTAAGTATTTAGTTAAAAAGAAGTAAAATATTTTTAATTAATTTATTAACATATATATTATAGATTTGGTAGATTTATTATTTGACAATATTATATAATTTATATTATATCATGTTTTAATTTTAACCTACATTGAGATGAGTTTATGACCYGAAAATAACATATTTATCAAAGTTTTTATTTTGTTAAAAAAATTTTACATTTAAAGTTTCAAATTCAAAATTAAAAAAAAAACATAAATACTAAAAACATAAATATATTATTTTCAGAATTTTTTACTAGATAGGAGAATTCAAATATAATTTTTTTTAAAAAAATTACTGGGTTCATCTAGTTAACCTGGAAATAAGAAAGATGAATTACATACCAAACAGACCCTTAATTTCTTCGAATTATTTAATTACATCTCTATCGGGTTTGGTTCATTGGATGATTTACTCAAATTAAAAGAAAAGAAAAGAGAAAAATTTTTTTTTTGAATTATACATTTGAGTGGTCCAAAGGCTCGAAGAAAGAGCACAAAGGGTTATGCCAATTCTGCGTCTTTCCCCATTAACCACCGAAAGAGACAACTTCAACAACTTCACCATATAATACATACACTCATATTCTCTCCAACATATACATAAAAACTCCCTCTTTTTGTTCCTTCCAATTTCACCAATAACCATGAAGAAGAAGCTTGGAGGGTTCACGTGCCACTCCCCGACCGCCACCGCGGTCTGCATCTCCGCCAATCCCCGCTCCGCGGTGGTTGTGCCGAGGAGGCTGGCTAGAGCTGATGTTAATGCCAATGGTGTCGACCGCGTGAGGTTCGCGAGCAATGGTGTGAACTACTTGAGGCTTGTTGCATCTCCAAGCTTGAGCATTCGCAGTGAGGGAAGGCTGCCCGCCGTAAAGCAACCAGTGTCGACACTTTCTTCTTCACCGGAGAATGTCTTTCAGGTGGTGGTTTTGAGGGTGGCGCTTCATTGTCAAGGCTGTGCTAGTAAGGTTAAGAGACATCTCACCAAGATGGAAGGTAGTGATCATAAATTCTCTTTGAGTTGGGTTTTTCGAATATTACATCATAAATTCCTTTGAGAATATCATTCAAATCTATAATCTATAAAAGACTACTTTGAACCACTAAGCTATGTTCTAGTTCTAGTCGGTAGGTAGCTACCATATTTATATCCAATGAAAGATTTAAAAAAAAAATATTTTTTATTTTTATCTCTCCTAGAGTCATTAAAATTTACAATTAATAACAAATATTAAATCTGCTTCTAAACATCTCTATAATATAAGATATATTATATTGCCAACATAAATATAGTTCAATTGATCGTTGTATTACTGACATCCAAATTTGATGTTTAAATCTCCCATCACAATCTAGATAGAGCTGATATGTTAAATATTAATATTTTTATTTTTATTTTTTAATTTTAAAACTATCATTTATTTTTCTCACTCTATTAAAAAGTTACATAGAAACTATTAAATATGTCCAATAAATATTAGATATGCTAACTTCTAATGATAGTAGAAACTAGAAAGCATTCCCCATTCAACGGTGAGAAATTATTATTATTATTATTTTGGAAATATAGTTAGAAATGAATTGAGAAGCTAATGAAAGTAATTTTTTTTGTGGGTGAAAATGTTTTAAAACTAAATTTCTAATATTCTAGTGTGCTAATGAAATGAGATAAATAAATTAATGTTTGAATGTAATTAAATGGTAATTGACAGGAGTGACATCATTCAGCATAGATCTTGAGGCAAAGAGAGTGACTGTGATGGGACGTATCTCACCGCACGGTGTTTTGGAGAGTATTTCTAAGGTGAAAAGGGCCGAGTTATGGCCAATGTGTTAAACTAAATGGCGTCTGGCTGTGACAGACTGTGACGACTGTGAGGGAAGATAATTGGAAATGACCAAAGTGGACACCAAAAGGAAACGAAGATGTCTTTGTAGAGCACCCAATAGAGGGGTTATGTGTAAATTTGCCCTTCTTGTTGGGAAAATATTGTGGTGGTCCTAAATTCTATATAAAGGGGTGGTGGGTGAGATGTTACTAGTAGTTCATTTGGCATTATGGGTTGGAACCACTTTTTTTTTTTTCTTTTAAGGATAGTGATATTTTTGTTTCTACATTTCAAATATGAGAAATTCTCCTCCCTAGCTAACTTCTTTTTGTTTTTATTTTGGTTTAAATTCTATTATTTCATCTCGAACTTTCATGTTTGTTCCAATATTTTTGTCCCGAAATTTTTAAAGTAGTAGTTTTTGAACTTTTAAAAAACCAACCAGTTTAGTATTTACCTTACTTTCTCTTTTTATAAATGAATAAGGTAGAGTATGTATAGTGACGTAAGTAACATGAATATGTATATTAGTGTCACAAACATTGACTAAGCAAGAATTGAGTGGCCATAGTTCAATTAGTTTAGTCATTTATCTCCGATCAAGAGAGTGTAAGTTCAAATTCACACCCCATATGTGTGCTTAAAAAAAATTGAGTCAGGAAATATTAGATGAGAAAATTATAGTAAAAATTATTATTTTTTTAAAGCCGATGAATTAAAACGTACATTTTAAAAGTTTGGAGACCAAAATGAGATTTAAACCTTTTATTATATGAGGTGTTTACATCGACAATGTTATATAAATTTGTAGTTTTTCAATATAGGATAAAGCGTGTCATCCAAATTAAAGTCATACTCAAACATACCAATACCTTTTTTTAACCAACTTTTGGATCGATGACACATGGGCACTACAACACGACCCTAGCTTTTTTTTTTTTTCGAGTTCAATAACATGTGGGGTGGTTGAATTTTAATAAGTATTACATCATAGATAGTAAATACAAGGTTAAAAAACACATTTGGTCCCTAAACTTTGATTAAAGTAACGATTTAGTCTCTGAACTTTCAAAAGTAACAATTTAGTCCCTGTACTTTGAAATTAGTTACATTTTAGTCCCTACCGTTAAAATTTTGGTTAGATTTAACGGAAGTGTGACGTGGCTATACACATGTACAAATTAAATGGACAACTGTATAGCCGGTTGGTTCAATCCCAAAACGGTTCAAATTTGGACCGGTTTAGAACTTAAAAAATATATATATAAAATAAAAAATGTCCTCTCTTTCACGACTTCTTCTTAGCATATTCTCCGGCACTATCTTCAGTACCCTGAAGCCCCCTTCTCCCTCTCTTCCTCCTCTCCGCCACCATGATACAGAAATTTGTGGGTGGTGTCAACCCCACCCCTGCCGACTGGGGTGGTTTAGATAAAAGATAAATTACAAATGAGGAGTGGTTCCAATTCTCCCATTGGATAACAACATAACCCTTCCCTTCCTCCTCTCATTTCCTAATGGTGGGTTTTCACTCATCTCCTCTCCCCTTCTTCTATTTTTTTCCCTTTCAATCCATCTTCTTCTCAATTGACCCACATAGATGGTCTGATTGTAGATTCTCTCGATTTTGTGAGTTTTCTTTAATTTTTTTCTTGATTTTCTCGAAAGAAGAAGATCCAGAAGACGAAAGAGATTGCAGTGGCAATAGCAAAATCCTCCACTTTTAAATCCAATCATGGCGGCACCGAATCGGTACAACGCAGAAAGAGGGGCAGACCTCGCAAGGTTGTGATGAAGCACAAAACGAAGAGAAGAACGAGGAACTTTCGCCGTCGGAAGTTGCAAAAATACCGCTGGAGAAGAAAGTTAAAACCATCGAAGATGAGCAACTGCCGCCGCCCACTGTGGAAGGAAGTGAAAAACAAGAACCAAATGAGAAGTAGAGGAAGGAGGAGGAAGAGAGATGGAAGGGAAGACATTTTCATTTTATAACATTTGTAGTTCTAAACCGGTTCAAATTTGAATCGAACCGATATGAGATTGAACCAACCGGCTGCATAGTTGAACATTTAATTTGCACACATGTACATCCACGTCACACTTACGTTAAATCTAATCAAAATTTTAACAGCATGGACTAAAATGTAACAAATTTAAAAGTACAGGGACTAAATTGTTACTTTTGAAAGTTCAGGACTAAATCGTTACTTTATTCAAAGTTTAGGGACCAAACGTGTTTTTTAACCTAAAAATAAATAATAATATTCCTCTTCCTCGTAAATTAAAGACTAAATTGATGTAGATATTATTTTTTTTAATTCAATTATAAATTTTAAACTAATTTATGGATTAATTTAAAAAAGAAAAATACTATCCCCGACCAATTTCCTATTTCCTAATTGAATAGGGTGGATCAAATCTTATCTCAATGAAGTGGAGTATTGAGATTTCACTATTATGTCGGAGAGATTTAGAGTGTTCATCCTTGTCAAAATGATGGAGGAGTCTATTTTCTTGGTCTCTGACCGAGGAGCTTATTTTTACTCCAATTCTGGGAAGATCGTTTACGTTCTTCTAAGGTAAAGTTTTGAAATTTCAAATTACGGAATTTCCTAATTGTTCAAGTTCTCTATGTAGCAGCTTCATCTCCTTTCTTAATATCAATAATATCAATATGTTGTAGGGGTAGAGGAAAAGAAGAAAATAACCAAAATCACCTTTCTTAATATCGATACTATCGATATGTCGTAGGGGGAGAGGAAAAGAAGAAAATAACCAAAATCAAACTAGATTGGAAAAATTAAAAAAAATCCCAAGTGACATTTCCATCGACATATCGACTTTTCGTTCTAATCGGGAAAAAACGACTTTTTCCTCCACGTCGATGTCGAGACCGTGACACGTCGACATGTTGAAACAAAATTTAGAACAATGAATAGAACTAACCCAACCGAGATTACACCATCCAAAATTGATTGTGCCAGACCAAGGGATTGTACCATACCAAGCCAAGATTCATACCATTTTCAGTTTTTTGTGTTTGTTTTTTTCTAATTTGGGCATTTATTTTTGACCTTATTACAATCTTGACCCAAAATTCATGAAATCTTTTACCTTTTTTTTAAAAATTAAATCCATACGTTTACACAATTGGATCATGATTATGCAAATTCAATTTTACATATTAAACAATTTAATATTTAATATTTCATGATGTAATTTAAAGGTTAAAAAATACTTTTAATCCCTTTACTTTGGCTAAAATAACAATTTAATTCCTATATTTAATTTGTAACAAATTAATCTATATTCTTTGAAATTAATAATTATTTAGTCCTTAATTTTAATAGATACCAATTTGATATTTGTAATTTAAAGTTAATGATGATTTCATCCTTATCTTGTTAAATTTCTTGTATTTATAGTTTGATAAACTAAAAGAGAATCAAATATATTTATGAATTAGAAAGATTAAATTGTTTTAATAAAATTTTTTATAATAAGAACTAAATCGTACAAATTATAAACTACAAGAACTAAACCATTATAAATTAAAGTTCAAAGACTTTACTTTAAGAAAAGTACATATTTAATTCATAGATTAAATTATTACTTTAAAAAAAATACATAGACTAAAGTTCAAAAAATAAATTATTACTCAAACACAAAATGTGTTTCTTAACCTAATTTAAACTATTTTTAATGACTTTTTTATATTAAATTTGCAATTGACATTTCAAATTAAAAAGTTATAGACTTTCTTCAAATTCCTGAAGTTCGATTTTTTAAGTTAGTAGTTGACTATTCAAATTAAAAGGTTATGGGCCAAGAAATATTGAAGGGTGATGTAGGCTAGGATTTTGGAGGAATACAAATAACCTCTGGTTTCTCACATCTGGAATAACTAGTGAATCATAAAGCCTTAATGCTCTCCAAAATTGGCTTGGTTCCAAGATGTAAAATCCATGTTGAATCACGAAGGTATGTTTTCTCTCTTCTAATTTTCTTCTCTCCCTCCATCCTTCAAAATTAGGGCAAATATCCAGAAATTTCCCTAAAGGGCCACCATTTTCTTCTCAATCTTCTTCTCATTAGATTAATGGGCAATGTCTATTTCCATCTTCATTATTTAACCATACTTTCTCTCTGTTTTTCTCGCAAAATCCTTCCTTGCAAGTTTAGTTCCTTGTACTACTAATATGTTGCTATTAATTTTGCTTGAGAGTTGAATTGTATTAGACATCCTAAACTCCGAAAGATGTTTATTTCTTTTTATATCTTTTTATTTGTTAAATCTACTAAATCCTATTTCAACTAAAAATAAGAGCATAAAAAAAAAACTAAAAATTAGAACTAGAAACAGGAATGGTTATCAACATTATCAAACACATTCTGTTTCTAGTTCTAAAAAAATTGGAAACAGGAAACCGGAACGAGGCCGTAATTATCATCAAAGAGGGCCTTCATGTTATTTGTTCCACAAGGATGTCAAACACAGAGTTGCAGAAAGTTGAGTTCAGATTGAGGATTCTTGGAGGAGGAAAAAGAATAGAAAGAAATTTTTGCAGATGGGAGATTACAGAACAGATTATCAAGAATGATCAGATAGAGCTAATACAACAATTGCCATCACCACGGCAATCAAAACAACAATGTTCGTCATTTCATTCTTGAAAAATAGAATCCTAAAATTGTTCAAAACTGAAAACGAAGAAAAAACCAATACAAAAGGCAATAAAAGAGATCGAGAATGATCAGTTAGAGCTAATACAAATAATTGCCATCATCACGGCAATCAAAACAACAATGCTCATCATTTCATTCTTCAGAACTTGAACGTCAAAAACATTGAAACATAACACCAAGAAAACCAATATTAAAAGATAAACACTGCTCAGAAATTCAAACCGCAATGAAACAAACGAATGATCTAAATTGATGGCTAGAAAATGACACAAACAAGTAAATCGAACGAGTTAAGCCAAATCCAGAGTGAAAAATCACTTTTTCAAAGTAGAAGCAAAAATCATCACAAATGAGAAGGGAAAGGAGAATGATCAGGTAGAGCTAATACATGATTTCGCTGTCATATCAGCAATCAAACGATTACGAAAATAGATCATCGTCGTCTCATTCTCTGCAGAAGGGGGAAAAACAAGAACACGAATCTTCAAATGAAGAGATAAGCAGAAATTAATAGGAGAAGTAGACTGAACTTTACAAATTACAGAGACGCTGAAGCGAGAACTTGGAACTTTATTTGTTTGCAAAGCAGAAGCAAGAAGGCGAGACTGAGGGATTGGTTTGG